GGATATTTGTTTTATAATGTCTTCTACACCACTTTTTCTACGGATTTCTTCGTTTCTTACCCTATCTCCCAACGTTATATCCAACAATGATCTTTCCATTCTTCGTTGCGTCACTTGTAGTTTTCGTGCAGATGTCCTTGGTAGGGTAAGTGTCTCTGCGCCATATGTAAGAGCAGGCAGGACACACTGACTAAAGGCTCTTCTTTTTAAGCTGATCAGTATATCACCTTTAAAAATATCACGCAGTATTCCATATGCTGCCCGTCCCAGTGTTATTCTTGAATTAAGTTTAACGTGACACAATATTCAATAATTTAGCACGATTATACGATTTCGCAACAAATATAACTAGCCATTATACAAGTAACCCGTACTTGTCACGAAACAGCAAATAATGTAATTAGCGTTTAGTAAAATATATACTGTACCACGTGCACTAATGGGAGCGAAATACTACCATGTAGCAAAAACCGTGTCTTCTTGGCATGTTAGGAACAAAAGTATCTTGGAGTATAAAGCGCTATCCTAGAACTTTAACACACCCCTCTATTAACTGAGCAGCCTTTGCCCCTATTGGCTGGAACGACTGTCTTTAACTGACTGATGGTCACTGAGTGATACGGCCGTTGGGCCAAGAGTTTGTTTGTACAAGCAGACGATACGCGTTGGCGATAAGTACTCAGCGGTCTGCACTTTTAAGAAAAGCCATTCATTTTTCTATCGTTCTTTGTTAATATACAATGTCTAAAAAACAGTCTTTTGTTTGCAACAATGTATTACAACCGTTTATTGTTCTCTACCGTCTTTGTTTTTGTACGCGAAATCTTAATTAATTATACGGGGAAAATCAAAACTAACAAATTGTCTGTTAATATTTTACCATTATTACTTATGAACATCAAGTACTACGGTTACCGCAAGTACTACGGTATCACTGCCAGTTTAATCCCATTGAACATATCTGGGGTATAGGTAAAACGAATTATGATAATCACATTGGATGCAGTGGATACAATGACGACGCAGTTGGGGAAATGTGACAAGGAGCTCTTGAAACTACAACTCCAGAAATATGGGCCAAAACTGTAAATAAATGTAAAAAATTAATAGAAGAGTGGTATATCCAAGAAATTAAAAAGAAATTAAAATTAGTAAAATTAATCCAATGATCCTAGATTTACATAATGATAGCTGTAGTAAATTTAGTGACAGTGATAATCATTTATAAATTTTAATAATGACTAGGTACACTCTTATAATGTTATTTACAAGATAATTGTACAACAGGTTAACCATTATATATATATATATATATATATATATATATATATATATATATAATATAAAATTAGAATCTTGACAAAGGCAAGGGTTTCCTGCCGAAACGTTGATTGATTGCAATGGAAAATAAAATCTAGTTCCACATGTAACATATCTTTATTGAACCTAAACCCAAGAAATACTAATTTTATATTAAATATAATACGGTTCAAGAAACTCAAAACTACTATATATATATATATATATATATATATATATATATATATATATATATATATATATATATATACATTCATTTTTAGCCAAATTAACAATAATTTTTTAAAAATTCCATTTGAATTTTTGCTCCTAATTTTATACAAACTAACAATAACTGATAATATAGTCAAAAATATTCTAAACAAAGTAAATAACTAAAAAGATTATGAAGAACTCCAGTGCAGTTTACTGTGTCTTACTGTTTTGTGCGAATTCCATTAATGGTTTTGAGGTGTAAGTTGGTTAAATGTACTGTGGGTTGTAACCAGACCCTATATTCCGTGATCTTAAAGCTTTTTCGTTGAGAATTTGTTTAGGTATTTTTTGGTATATCTATTTATTATTATGTAGCTTATATTTAATTGTCGAACTTGTATATTCTGCTAAGTATAATTGATTTGAAGTTTATGTAAAAAGTATTGTTTTATATTCAAAGTTTTATGTGTTTTCTCAAAGATTTCTTAAATAATTATTGTCTCTTAATTAAATCGATGTTTTATATTTTCCCAGCTGTTATTTTCTACTTTTGCCGCAAGATCTTCAATAAGTACTATTTTTTCATTGGAGACTAATAGAAAACCCGTCCGTTTACATAGTATTGTTTACTTAACCCCCTTAATATTATCCTAGTATTAAATTAACTAAACATTACAATACCACAAATTTAATGTCAATATTTGTAGTCGTGCGGTAATCTTGAACAGGAGTATATTTGTCAATGGATAAAGCGGGAGCAACTTGTTGTCAACCTTCTACTATAATAATTAATATATAGATCTTATCATACAGTATGACTCAGTATGTTGAAATTATAGAAAAACTAAAATTACTGTACTGGATTTGACCGTTACTTATTGAACACAAAAGGGGAGGGCTAAAAACCAACGTTTTCAGTATTTCATTGTTAAATAAGACTACTATTAAAGGAAAAAGAATAATTGTTCATTAGATTTTCTGCCCACTATTTTACCTACCGTGCTAGTTGCTGAAAATTGTTCACTTTCGTCGACCTAATTCTGTATGCCAATCTGTTAAGAAATTTATACAAATTTCATTTGTTTTTTCCATTACAATATACTTAAAGATTTTATCCCCTTTTCGATTATCAATAATATATTGAAAATAGCCCTATGTGGCGGGAAAAGACCTCGTCAAGTACTGTGTTTATTTAAAAACTAAATAACTACAGTAGTTTGTTTTCACATGTCAAGAAATTATTAAAGTTGGATACTTTCTTGTTGTTCTTAGAGTCCCTTTTATCGAAGATTGCAAAAAAACTTTTGTAAATTTTTTTCTTGTTTTGTGTGTGATACTTTAAAAAAATTCCACGAACTAAGTCCTAACATCAGAAATAAAAAACACTGAGAATTTGAACATTATGTGGAGCAAAATCAAAGATTCTATTATAAAAGCACAGAGAGAAACTCTACAAAAGAAAACAAAAAGCTATAGTGAGAAATATATTCGAACCAACAGGCTGGGGTAACATTAGATAGGAATAACACGGATGCTCATCAGATAAGTAGAGATGTGAGACAGGGCTATGTACTTTGACCATTACTATTTAATATTTATTTCGAACAGTTATTTACGCAAGCACTTGAAAACTGTGCAGAAGGGATCAAGATAAATGGCGAAAATATAAATTACATCCGTTATGATGACGATTTGTCATTATCGCTAAAAGTGAGTCAGACCTGCAGACGTTACTAGCATAATTTATGATACTGGGGAACAGTTTGGTTTAACAATAAACATAAAGATAACAAATACCATGGTTATCACTGAGAAGGACAAAGTCATTACAAGGATCCAGGTAAACAATAAAGATATTGAGTAAGTGGACAAAATGAAATACTTACGAGTCTGGATTACGGAAGATCTGATTCAGAAATCAGAAATTCGCTCACGAATAGAGCAAAGACGAGCAGATTTTTTGAAGATCAGGAAATTTCTGAACCAAAGACTCAAACAAAGACTCTGCAAATCCAATATCGTATGGTAAAATGATATTTCCACTCTATTCTTCTTTATGGTTACGAAGCTTGGACTGTTGACTTAATGGGAAAAATAGTAGCTTTTGAGATGTGGCTTTTTAGGAGAATTTTAAAGATACCATGGAAAGATCGTATTACGAACGAGATGGTGTTGAACAAAATGGGAAGAGACATAGAACATTGGACCACCATTAAAAGGAGAAAAACAGCATATTTGTGGCATAAACTTAGAAATGATAAGTACGAGTGGTTGCAGCTGATTGTAAAAGGTAAAATCAAAGGAAAAAGGGGGCCTGGTATACGACAAATATCTTTACTGAAAAACGTTCGAGACTGGACCGGGTTAACACAGACGCTCTTAAGAAAAGCAAAAGATAGAGACGAACTTGCAATGGGTATAGCCAGCCTTCATTAGTTTAGACGGCACGAGAAGAAGAAGTCCTAACCTAACTAATCACCGATATATTTAATTTTGTAAACAAATGAACCTAAATTGTTTTACCTTGCAAAAGAAATGGTGGGAGAATGTAGTGACAATAAACGCGAAAAATTTGCTAGACACGAGAACTTGGCAAAGATCATCGCAAGACCGGCATAGCTTGGAGGAGGTCGAGGCTGGTTCAGTTGTAGCACCATTAGAGATATATTGGAGAGATATTTCATTTTGTGGTGATAAGTTTTTAAATACAACAGATCGTCTCCGGCTATTTTATTATTAATTATTCACTGCCAACTTTCTATAATTATAACAACAAATAAATCTTAATCAACAATGTATATGACAAGTTAATAAAAAAGAAGTCGTGTTGGTACCCTGTTGAACAAATTGACTTCAAAAAAGATGCGCGTAAGCATCTGTCTGAGATTTAGAAAAGGAACTGGTATCTGCAACCCCCAATAGTACAATTTTGCCATGTGGGAAAGTTATTTTAGATTTGGATTCAACATATTTGTGCGCGTGTGTTTGGATTGTTGGCTTGGCAGCTAGTCCTTTAGTCACACAATTGTATTATAAGATATTTGTGTTTAAATAATATAACTACCTTTACAAAGAAAGTATTGGTACATCTATTTCTCTTCTCTCTTATTAAAGTAATTGGGTGATGTTTATGGGAGTCTGAATTTTAAGATCTTCTAGCTTTGAATACAGCTGATCTGTTTCATACTTGTGTTTATCGCAATTAAAAAGAATATGGTTAATGTCACATTGTGATGTATATTCGCATGAGCATACCTCAGAAGGGATAAAATTTACCTTAGGCAAGTGAGCTGGTAATGCGTTGTGATTAGTTTTCAGACGTGAAATTGTCGCTGTCGACTTCTTTGGAATTGGGACGCAGCACATGGAATAATATGTAATTAGTGTGAAGCACCTAATATACTTTTAATATATACGCTTCCTATTTATATGGTTCAAAATTATTTGACTTTTTTAATATATTTATATAATTAATTTTATTACAGGTCGAAACTTACTAGACTGGATTGGATTTGGTACCGGTCCTGAGACTGATCCTTATTTAGCTCAGGCCAACGGTGCTTGTTTAAATGGTGATCTAGCAGAATGCTTTAAATCGAGAGCTCTAGCGTCTTTTGAGGACTTTTTTACAAAAGTAAGTTTTATAAATATGTCCAATTTAAAAATAAATATACATACACTATTAACATTAAATAAGCCGTGTAGATCTAGTACTAAATATAAACAATCATTACAAATCTAAAATATTATACAACCTACTTATTGTTTATTACGCTATCAAACCATCTCTAGCTTTTTCGTTGTTTTAGTTTTTTGCGATTAGACTCTTTTAAGGACCATTTTCGTTATCCTATCATTATAATTCTTTGCGACCTAAGGAGCTTATACAGTTTTTCTAGTTCCTCTTCTTCTTCTTTAAGTACCTATTCGTTCCGAATATTGTCAATCATTCTGGCTATAATTATTTTATTGACTGATGCTTTAAATAGATTCGTTGTTGTTGTGGAAAATCATTTCCTCAGGTTCTTCAACCATGATATTCTCCTTCTCCCAATTCCTCGCTTTCCGAATACTTTACCCTGTAGGATTACCTTCAGTAATCTGTATTTAGTGCTGTTTCTCATTATATGTCCGAGATATTCCAACTTTCTCCTTTTAATGGTATACATCACCTCTCTTTCTTTGCCCACTCTTTGTAATACGGTCTCGTTGGTTATCTTTTCTGTCCATGATATCCTTAGAATTCGCCTGTATAGCCACATCTCGAAGGCTTCAAGTTTTTTCTCCATTGCTTCAGTTAGTGTCCAGGATTCAACTCCGTAATACAATATTGAGAAGATATAACATCGTAGGAGCCTTACTTTTATCTCCAGATTAAGATTGTGGCTTTTAAAGAGTTTGGCCATGTTATTGAATGCACTCCTAGCCTTCTCTATTCTACATTTTATTTCCTGTGAGTGATCCCATTGTTCATTTACTAGTTCCTCTAGTTCTAGTTATTTATTTATCATATATAATTTTCCACTTTATTTTTGCTTTCATATAAGACTCTGAGCATTTCTACGTTTTCAATGTTTTCCCATCTTATATTTTCATTGACCATACTTCATTATTATATGTCACTGTGGGTATTATCATCGTCTTTAAATTTTTATACTTCTTTTCCTCGAAAATATTTGAACTTCATCGTGATCTTAAAATGTTCATTTTCTGGGTTTTAACTTTAATTCTTTATGACCATTCTCCTCTACAATAAATCTAGATAAGGAAAAAACCTCACTTTTCTATCGAAATTTAATTCTCTTGCTTAGTTAAGTATAAAAGTTAACTAATCATCACTTTTTTGCTCCGTATTTTCAATATATTATGTACTTTGACTTATCCTTATTTATTTCTAGGTTAAAATATCTTACCCCATTCATTTTCCCTTTATATTTCTTAATATTTTTTTTGTTTTTGCTGCGCGAAAAAATTTCGTTATTCTAGTATATGGATCCAGTAATTTTTGTTTTTGATTAATTATGATAATCCTCACCAGTAAACAATTAATAAGCAGCGTGGATAAAGGCTCTCCTTAGTTCCTCCTCCCACCGGTGACCCCAATTTACTTTAAATTAATTGGATTAAATCCGACTACAAAGCAGCCTACGACGACTCCGTGAATAGAAGAGAAATGTTCAAGGCAATGAAATAGCTAGGAATACCAAATCAGTTGGTAAATTTAACAAACCTAACTCTTGACAAAGTTGAATGTGGAGTACGAATTCAGGAAGAACTGTCTGAACTTTTTAAAATAAACAACGGGCTGCATTGTTGCATCTTGCATTGTTGAATGACTTGGAATTGATATATCTTACGCTAAATAAAGAACTGGCAGAGGGCACACTATTGCCTGAATAAAACATCTTTATTATTGCTACTTTCTCCTCAACTCAATACAGTTTATCAATTTTGTTGTTTTTTAAACAATAAATCATAAAACACTAATACTGACAATTCAAATATTGTTAACATCTAACTTCATTGCGACCAAAGCAACCGGTTATACAGATTGTGTACTACGCGTGGCCTAACTATTACGACAATACTCTGACAATACTCGGATGTATTATATTGTATATTTTGCAAAATTTTGGAATATGTTTTTGAAATATTATTTCGTAGATTAATTTCTTTTCCATATAGATTTCAGTCCTCTACTAATGGTTTCTAATGAATTTTGATGTAAAATTTAGAATTTCGCATTGCGTTTCCCATGGCCCATTTGAAGATTCACCACCCAGTATATTTTTAACGGACAAGAAGTAAATAGCGAATAATAAAAAATTAATAAATTTTTATTGAAATAATATTTGTAGATGTATCAATGAAATAATTGAGTTTTCTAATAAAGTATGGAATATGAATTCCAAATAATTTCATTGATTATATGGTCAAGCATGCTTCGCTAACAATTTTAATAAATGAAGTATGACACGCAGTAGCAGCAAATAAATTTCGAATTTAATTAATTTTAATTAAACCTAAAACATTCCCTTCCATTAAGTTCGTCTGATTGTTTTATAAATGCTCATTGTTGTGTTCGTTTGCGATGTATAAATTTTGACATGATTAATTTAAGATCTGTATTAGGGTGTGCAAACAGCAATAATAATTTTTCTACTCGGGTGAACATATTTAAGGTCGATTAAAACACACAAATGTATATTTTTCTTTACCCTATAAATTTAGATATACATTCATCTGCATATTAAATTAGTTATACGGGCTTATAACAACAAAGGAAATAAAATCAGCTCTCTCGGAGATGAAAAACAATAAATCACCTGGAGAAGATGGGATAGCCATTGAACAAACCAAAGAAGGAGGAGGAACGTTAGTAAATGTGTTAAAATAGATGTTCAATGCTTGTTTGACAAGAGGCGTAACCCCCTCCCAGTGGCATAATGCAATAATGACCATAATGCACAAAAGAGGTGACATTTCAGACCTAAAGAACTACAGACCTATTAGTTTGCTCTCCCATACATACAAACTATTCATGAAAATAATAACAAAACGTTTTGTGAACAAACGATCCAGATACGATCCGATCCAGATACGGAACAAATGATTATCTACAAGTTATAAAAGTGTACAGAGTATAACGAGCCTATCTTTCTTATATTCGTAGATTATTCGTAGATTAATAAAAAGGCGTTCGATACTATAGATCATCATAAAATGCTTCGAGCATTGGCTGACTGCCGCATTGACTACCGATATATCGCCATGAATAAAATTATTTACGAAACTGGTACAGCTTGTGTTTGCCTTCATAAAGATACCAAGAAGTTTCGAATAGAACGTGGAATTAGACAGGGTGATACTATCTCCCCTAAATTGTTTACAGCTGTTATTTAATATATGTTCAAGTAAATGAAACGACAGGATAATATGGGAATTAATATAAATGGGGAAGATCTGAACCACCTAAGATTTGCCTGCTGACATCGTTTTAATATCTGATAGAGTTGATAAAGCTACAAAAATGCTGCACACGCTCTATAAAGTGGCAAAAACAATTTGTCTTAAAATTAACACCTCAAAGACAAAATTTATGACCAACCTTGTAGTCAGCGGTAAAATTCTGATTGAGAGCCATAGCATCGATTAAGTAATAGCTTACAAATATATAGGGCATAAGATTCGCTTAGGCCAAGATAATCAGACAACTGAAATACAAAGAATAATAGGTCTCACATGGGCTGCTTTTGGTAGATTGAATAACATTTTGAAGTCTATTGATGTCCATAAAACGAACGCGTTGCATTCAGAAATGTCCAGTATATTATAAAAATCAATCATAGTCCAGCGATTTGTTTTCCTCTTACATGTATATGTACCAACAAGCTGATCTAGTGTATCCAATGCTCCTTTACTGGTATTGTAATCTAAACCAATTTTGGGCATTTTGACATTTCTGTCACTAATAGCCTTATCATAATGCAAAGTACTCAGAATAACATTTTTATTCTTTTTAGAAATACAGTTTACAACAGTGGTATCTTACGTGAAGTAAAAAGACGAACTATAAACTTCTTTATTCGCAATTTGTGCTGGAAGCTCTGGCTTATTTTTCTTATAGTCCCCATCATTGTAGTTTTTCTTTTTAGAAAAAGTTGCTTTAAATTGTATGATATACAAAAGTTTTCATAAGTAATATTGAAGCCTTTTAAATCACTACACAAGTCGCATACCATACGCATTTTCTGATTCCGGCGCGGCACCTGCTTCCTTTCCTATATAGATTTGTAATTTTAGAGCATACAAACTTTTCCTGTCACATAAAGCTCAAATTTTAGCCCAATATAGCATAATTTTGCTGGTTTACTTGGAATATACTTTTTTAAGGGACAGCGGCCTTTTAAGGCAAATAATTGCTCTTCAACGATAACATTTTCATCAGGAATAAAAAATTTTGTTAGATTTTCTACCCATTTTTTCCAAATTTCACACATTGCAGCAAGTTTATCACTACGTCTTTTATTTTGTCTAGAGGTTTTGTTATTAAAACGTGTTACTTGCTAAATTTTTGTAAATACTTCCAGGTACATTATTGCTCAAAATACACTACGACCCGTTTTTTCATTCCACAAACTTTTAGTTAATTCGCCATGGGACTTATAAACTCCAGCTAATAATAAAAGACTAATGTATGTTTGAAAATTAATTTTATCCACGTCTTTCCAGTTGGTTCCAAAAACACGCTGTCCTTTTATGTTGGTCATATTTATGATTTGGATTGCAACTATGTCAAAAAAGAGTGCGTCAAATGAATTTTTGATATCAAAAATTCGTGCACATGTATATCTTGTAACTCCTGGAGCATTATTTCTAACATTGGCCTTAGAAAAACGACCGCTTTGATAAGAAGGATCGAGAGACCACTGGATATTACCGTCTTTTGAAGGAACTGTTACAGAAGGTTCTACAGGATGTTGTTCGTAGAATGAAACAGCAGAATCATCACTACTTCCTCCCCCACTCTTACTACTTGTATTGTTTTCTATTTCTCATCTTCGGTAAGCGTTCTTCGATGCAACATTATCAACATGCAAACTGAAATTTGAAATGTAAATGAATGGGCTTGACATATCACTGTCTTACCAGCCTACCACTTGTCTATCACTTCCTTCTACGTAACATGCCCTTCTAAATGACATCGTCCAGCTACATTACACATGTTTCTCAAGTTCTAGCTTGCAGAAACTTGTTTCTATTTATAGATGTACTTGGCTGACAAACTGTTAGAAAATATACCGGGTGGTGAATCGGCTAAGGGGCCATAGGAAATTCAATGGGAAATTCTAAATTGTTGAATTCCAGCTTCCCTAATTATTTTACATCAAAAGTCATAAAAAACTATTTGTAGAGGATTAAAATATGTATTAAAAACAAATGTATTCCAAAATGTTGTAAAAATACATTCCCTTTTTCACACCACCCCTTAAAGTCAGGCCACACGAAGTACAAGGATGTGTATGACATGTGGCGTTTGGTAATATTGATGATTCTCATATTTGACAATATTTGACTTACCCCCTCTGTGGCTCAGTGGTAAGAGCGCCTACCTTTAAACTTAAAGGTCGTGATTTCGAATCCCATCTGGGTAGAGAAATTTTCGTTTATTAACAAATAACGAATGAAAATAATTTCTATCCATGTGCGATCGGTACTCACCGGAGGGACCGCAGACGTTCGGATACAATTAGCGTCTCTTAGCAAAGACAATGACGTCGACTTTGCTAAGTATCAAGACAATTACTCTACACATACACACACACTACACTAGGTACCTGACTGTACCATGCCAATGATCATAGTTGTCGAGGCATTAACTCGATAAAAAAAATATTTGAATTGTCAATATTTTTATTTTGTGATTAAATTATACACAAATACTAAAATACGCAAATTTTTACAAATACTACTACTACTAGTGTGAAGTGTTTGCAAAGCAATAAAATTGATGAAATGTATTCAGTTCATATAAACGGAATTTATTCTTTTCCAAAATTTTTAACGCCGTAGAATTATGAATATTAAACTGGTCTGCAATGCGAGAACTTATTCTAGGATTTTCTACAACGGCTGCATTTCTACAAACTCTACATTTATTTCATTTTGTTTTTCTAAATTTTGTAAAATTCTTTGAATTGTTGAATGACTTTGAATTGGTCTATTGGAATATTTTACGCTAAATAAAGAACTGACAATTCGCGCACTATTACCTGAATAAAACATTTTTATTATTGCTAGTTTCTCCTCAACTGAATACATCTTTTAATCAACTATATTGTTTTTTAAACAATTAATCACAAAATTGAAATTTTGGAAATTCAAATATTGTCAAATATCAGAAACATAAATATGACAAACGCAACATGTCATACACATTCTTGTACCTCGTGTGGCTTAATTTTAGGGGTGGCCTGAAAAATGCATTATATTTTTACAAAATTTTTGAATATATTTAATTCCTAGAACAATTTTAACATTTGTTTTTAATACATAGTTCAGTCCTCTACAAATAGTTTCTTACGACTTTTGATATGAAATAATTAGGGAAGCAGGAATTCAACAATTTAGAATTTCCCATTGAATTTCTTACGGTCCGTTATTCCGTTCGTAATTTTTAACGGTTTAAATACGTGGGTCATATTTACCCGAACGTAAGATAGGTAACAATTTAATTTTTATGGAAAAAATTTGAAAGTTCATTTTTTATCTCGTATGCAATTGAAAGACCTCATATTAGATAATAAAGTACGAAATACCAAAACGTTATGCCGCGTAATAATTTGTAAAATAAGAAATATTTTTTTTTGGGTTAAATAGAATCGAACAGGACAACAGGGTTAAAACTTACGTTTTGCACTAAGTTTGTATTATTGAATTTCTAAAAAAATCAAAGGGAAAAATATACTTGTTTACTTCCTAATACCACGTTAAATTTTATCATTTACAAGTCAAAAATAGTATTTTATAAACAAAGAGAAAATTCTTGTTTAAAATGCACGTATTTCAAAATAAAGTCATCTGCACTTTTCCTTAAAATTATAGCAAAAACTACACTCCAAAATTGAATAGAACCTATCGATAAAAATAGCGCCTGGTTTAAATTGTTCCGATTGGAAAAATAATTTACTGATAGCACTCTCTTTAATTACACTCAACCACAAAGAAGTATCAAAACAGAAACTCAAACAAAATAAACAATAAAAGTCTTTCTAAACACGATTGTGTATTTTAGCCGGAATATTATCTCAGTGAAAATGCCCGGATTAGAAGGATGCCCGAAACTCAACTTCGACAGTTATCTCAGGAGCCTTACGAATATTCGGAAAGTCCCAGAGCCGATGAGCCAGAGTGGGACCAACTTCTTAAATTTGGCAAGAGAAAGGTAAGACAGCTTAAATTATGGTATATTGGGTAACAGTTTTTTATCTTTGATCAATATTGACAATGAAAATTTACTTAGAAAAGCATATTTTTAATAAAAAAATATCCCTTTTAAACATTTGGATACAACGTTTTATTTTGCACTTAATTTACTGTATCTTTTATTTTATGAAAATCAGACATTACTTTTATTATACAAAGGATTGAAATTTATAAGATACATATTGCACCCTCAGTGCAAGACTGCAGTTAGTCAGAATAAGTAAGTTTCGAGATAAACACGATTTTCTTTATTTTCATGCTAATATCTGTGAAATAAGACACAAGTTTTGAGAAAAATTACCATTTAATTATAATTTTGCATGGTTTTTAGCCTATATTACATTAACCAAAAATAGAAATTTAAATAAAATAATATATAATGCCAAAAAATTAGGAATTTCAAAGTTACAACACTTTTGCACGGAGAAAATTGTTAATCACTACACATTTAGTATTAGAATTTTTGGAGTACAACACTTTTGCACGGAGAAAATTGTAAAAAGTGTAGACAAATTTTCTGTTAGTTGTTGTCCTCTTCTCGTATATCATCTTGGGCCAAAATATTCTTATAAAAACTATGGTGGGTTCTGGTATCATACCCGAATGACATAACTATACCAAATCTTTCTTTTTGGCCATTTGTTTGCTCTTTGTAGGCAGGTTTAAGTAGCACTTCTCGTACATTATAATACATACAACAATTAATTTAAATTTAACTTACTCTGCATGATGTTGCTATCCTTACTTGTCTGCGCACACAGGGATAAAATCCTCAATGTTCAGGAACTATTAAATTTGACATTTTCGAAATCGTTAATTCTGTTTCTATCACTTGCAAGGGCTAATAACAGATTATATTAAAAACTACACTACTAAAATGCACCTACTTGTATTTCTTCTTCTATAATCAGGGTAGGTAAAGAGAAAGTAATCTTCAACAAGGATAGGAAGGTATATACGTTTAATAAATTTCAATAAATCATCGGGTAAGTAAATAAAAAATAATCCCTAACAGCAATCGGGGTTTAGTATGGTATTAAACTTTACATTTAATAGATTTCAAAAAATCAGATAGCTACCTAGAATAAATAGGTACCTAATAAAACGGCTTATCGCTAGCGGCAAGTTAATCTTTGTCTGCACATGTTTCTGATAGCCAAAATTCCTTCACTTTGTAATAACAATGGGTAGAAAAATCATATGGTAAACTTTCAGTATTTTTACTTAAATTCAAAACAAAGGGACTATATTAACAATATGCAAATCAGGCTACCTTGAGTACAGTGACTAACAAAAGGATTGAAATTTACTACCTTAGTAAAAGTTGGAAATTACGAAGGGACAACATGATAAGACAATCACCCTGGAAGGTTACATGAAGATTTAGTACAATTTGGGATTTAGTTTTTATAGAACAAATTTTCTGAGAATAGATATTTTTAACCTGTTCGTATTTTTAATACACAAGTTTTAAGATAACTGTTTTTTCAATTAATAAAAAAATTCTTTTTGGCTGTAAATAATTAGTCCTAATTTATGTGTTTTTAATCCAATCTAATAAATAAATAGTTAACCGACATTGCATATATTTTATGAAAAATATAATGTCACACAAAGGACATAAAAGTTACATGAATAGATTGGTCTCGTAAATCATTGTTTATTGTCTCAGCCGACAATGGATTACGTAGACAAGCTGTCGATTAAAATTAAACAACACAGATATAGATATTAAAATAACAAATATATTACTTTTTTCGCGCCTTTCATTGCTTGTTATCAAAACCATTGCAATGTTCCGTGCAAAACGCCAAATAGTTAAACTTTTGTTGTTGTTGTAATAATTAGCTGGTTAAGCATTTGAAAGTTACTAAAGTTTTACAGAGAATAGATATGTATGTTTACAATCGAATTTCATGATTACTTCATTTTCAGAAAATTTTAAGTTACTGCAGTCTTGCACTGAGGGTGCGATATAAAAAAAATTGGTCCAAAAAATTTTGTTGGTCCAAAAAATTGTACAAAACGAAACAGCAAACTCTATGCTTTAAAATACAACGATTTAAGCCAACTTGCTTTAATACAATGTTGATATTAAGAGAGGCATAGGGCGTTAAGCTTTATATTTAAAATTTTATTATTTTTATAACTTTTACGGTTTTGTATTTATATTTTAGTGTAAGCTAATATATTTTTTACATAATTCAGTACGATAATTAATAAAGTATTATAGAATAAACACTTTTTATAAAATCTAACGGAATAAAATCTGGGCTACGTGGCGGCCGAAGAGCGGAACACACTAGTTCGCTCCCAATGTCAAAAAACCTTCTTAATTACATACTAGTTTGCTCCGAAAACCATAACCTAGTTCGCCAAAAACCATAACGTTATATTCTAGGACAATCAACACCAGGAGAATAGGTACTGCGGCTTTTGTATTTTATATTAGAAATTATATCAAATATATTTAGTGATAAGCGAGCTAATAACCGGCAAAATAACGCAAACGATGAAAAAGATAAAAAGTTGTAAGATAAAAGAGATAGAACTAGTAGAGATGAGAAAATTTAGTGATAGAAACCTATAAATTTACATTCTATTCACTCTTTCTCACCTTTAGACGCAGCAGAGGAAGATGTCAACTAAAACAGTCACAGTCACAGTAGTAGTTTTCAAACTCTTACGTCTAAAGGTGGAAAACAATAAATGAAATATAACTTTATAGGTTCTATCGCTAAATTTCCCATCTCCACTAGTTTCCTTTCTATTTATCTCACAACTTAATATGTTTTCCATCTTTTGCGTTATGAGGGGACAGCGATATGAACTGCTAAGGCTTATATTATAGGGAAAGATAAGAGGGGAAAGAAGTATAGGAAGAAAAAGGGTGTAATGGTTGAATAATTAAAGCGACTGGTTTAAATACAGTTCTATAGAATCCTTTAGAGCAGCAGTAGATAGAGTAAAGATCGTGATGATGATATAGAACCTCCGATTGGGAGAGGCCACTTAAAGAAGAAGGTTGAAACTGTAGAAAGTGTCATATATCTGTGAGTTATATTAAACACGAACGGAACAGAAGAACAAGAATTTTAAAGAAGAATAGTTAAATGGAACAAAGTTTACTTTTAACTTTCCTATGTGTTACGCTCCAAAAACACACTAAAGATTGAAAATCAGGGTCTACAAAACTATTATCAGACCAATAGTATGTTATGCATGGCAGACATGGGTGATAACTGACAGAAAACACAATACGTAAGCTGAAAGTCTTCGAACGAAAAGTCCTAAGGAACGTATTTGGACTTATTAACGAAAACGCAGTATGGAGATCCAGGTACAACTATTAACTCTACCAACTGTTCAACAAGGCACCGATGTCAAAATTCGTTAAACTTCAGAGACTTCGATGGGCTGGTTATGTAGGGAGAATGGAGATCGGAAGATTGCCAAAAAGAGCCCTAGATAGTAAAATATAGGGTGCAAGATCAAAAGAAAGGCCACGGAGAAGGTGGAAGGATGAAGTGGCAGCTGACGTGCAAAATTTGCTAGACGTGAGAACCTGGAGAAGAAAAGCGTGAGACCAACAAAATGGCAGGCATAGTTTGGAGGAGGTCAAGGCTCGATTTGGACTGTAGTGCCATTGGAGAGACAGAAGAAACGAAACACATGCACTTGTAAGTAGTATAAAAAATGATTACTGGGAACGTTTTTAGAAACAAATGGAACACGATTTTTATGTAATTACTTTTTAAATGGGAATAAGCTACAATTAAAGATTAAAATACGTTTATTGACGTTTTAATTATCACTTCGGAAATCGTTCTCAAAATACAAACAGTACAAAAGTAAATAATTAAACAGTTTTTGTTTTTTGTTACTTAGTGAAAAATTCTTCTAATAATTTAATTTTTTCTGACTCAATTATATTGACAATTCAGACATACATTATACATTTTAAAGTAGACGACTTTAAAATGATATTGCCAGTATTGTTGAGTTGCGCTCGTGGGACGACTTTATTTATATTATTTTTATGGTCTACAATTGGAATTATGGCGCTTTATAAAAGCGTCATGTATAATAGTCATCTTACATTCATACGTTCAACATGAAAAAGGGCAGGTACGGATCTGTTCCAATCTAATTTTTTAGCGTTCTGGCCTACCATTTACTTAAAAAATTCAGACTTAATTCATCTAATCTTACAAGTCAAATAAGCAATTATCGTGATATAAACTTTAAGAAAGTACTTTTAATATTCCATCTTTTATAAAAGAAAATTTAACTTTGCTAATGATTTTAACAAACTAATCACTTAATTACCATAACGGGGAATTTTCCAATTTTAAAAGGTTAAGTTAAGTTTAATTAAGTCTTTTAAGTATAGCAAAAGGAGTTGCATATAATTATTCAGAACAAGAGCAATAGTTAGGGAGAACAAAAATATGGGCAGTTTTTCTCCTTTAAGTTTGGTAACCGTTTGGTCTTCTGTCGAAGGTTGGAAAATCATCTATATAGGGTTTTTGTAGACCATTGTTCTAAATGCTTCTACAAATTTTGCCTTACATAGTATATTATGCATTTAATAATGCGTCTTATCACATGTCTCATAATTGGAACCTAAGTTTTTTGTCTTTTTATGATCAATATTATTTCTGGTTAATAAACTCCTTTTTATAACTTACATACCTTTGACACTGTTGCTCTCCATGATAACCTAAACGCAAAAAGTAGATTGAGTTAGTTATGTAAAGTACGTACTTAAATACGTGTCTTGATTTTTTTAGTGCAACATAATATACATACTATATGTTATCAACAGTGTAAACAATATATGCACATAATAACTTTTTACAGTGTGGTGAATAAATTTGATTCCACTACTTTAGCAAACAATGGTTCTGGTCCTGATGTGCAAGAAAATCACAGGCAGACGATTTTATGGCCAAAAAA